AACACTCAGCCAAGGAAAGCCTGCCTTAGACAGACATAATTAATTTTTTTCTTTTTTTTTTTACTACGTCTAGGGAAGAACCCATCCTATATGTTAGGTTGCCAGAGGGGGAGGGGGAAAACATTGAGCCATCTTGCCTTTATTATTAAACAAGTAAGAACAACATCTTAAATATTTATAGCCATGGTGAATTTTTCCAATAAGTTGGTAACATTATATCAGTACTTTGCAGATTTATTTTTCAAAGCTAAAATCAATGTCAGTCATTCCCAACTGTCTATCCATTGTTCCTCTAAAAATTTGTGTTTAGATGAAGCCCCTTGATCGCATCTGTTCATCTGAGAAATTCTATTCACTGTAATTATTTTTTTCACGATTTTTTATTGAATTCAGAGCACTGAATAAAACATAGAGCACTAGGATTACATAGATAATGTGCAGCAACTATTAAGTGTCACAAGTTACACACGTCTCATTTATATGGAATAAACAGAGTTGAAGTTCAGCGATCCATCCGTCTAAAATGGGTTTCTATTTCCTTCTCAGTCTTTAATTTTTCCACAATATTCTCCTACAAATAAAGTGGACATGAAAGAAAAGGTCTTCAGACAGGCAGATAACATTGGCCTATGGATCAAACCTCTTCTGTATGCAGATAGTTATAAGATTCCCATTGACATTGGTAGGAGCAAGATCAAGCATTACATGTAGTCCAGTGCTGTGCAAGCTTCCCCTCAAAGCTTTATCAAGCAACATCATTTCTCACTTTCCAGTTCCGGGGCAGATGTAATTTGTCTTGAGCAGATCCTGCAAATCATGTCAAATTATGCCAAAAATGTGTAGCGCTTTCATAATGTAAGCACTTGTATCAGACCACAAAGGAAGATAATGGCATCTAGCAGTTAGAGAGGGGAACAGATGATTGGGACTCTTGGGGTCATGTCCTCAGCTGCAGTTAGTTGGTGTAACTGCACTGGAAGTCAATGGAGTCATGGCAATCTATATCAGCTGAGGATCTTGTCTCTGAGTGCTATTTCTAGCTCTGTCACAATCTGTGATCTTTGGGATGTAATTTACCTTCTCTCTGCCTTTGAAAGAGGGTATGTAGTATTTGTTTCATAGAAGTATTGGGAAGCTTAATTAAATAATGTTAGTAAAGCACTCTGAGATCTTACAGTGAAATGTGCTACGGGTGTGTATGTTAGGATATAGATATTCAGGCCTGTCTGTAAAGGCCTATACTCTAAGAATTTAGGTGTATTCTTATCACTTGGCTAGTTATAGAGGTACAAAAGAAAGAATCAAAATCACTGTCTGCTGGTGTAAGGGCCTTCTCTTACTGTGACAATTTGTGGCCCTGTGCTTAGGCTAAGGCCTTTGGCTAAGCAGCAGAGGCAGCCATAAGCTGGGAAACGAACGGTCACATCCTCACATTCCAAACTAGTCACACTGAAATAAGGTGCTATTCGGCTGTTAGGAATGCAATCCTGTCCTGATAGTGCCTATCACCTCCAGAGAAAGGGAAGTGCCTAGAAAATGTAAAAGAAAACTTAGTTTGATAGCATCCTGTCTGGCAAGAACTCACTTTTCAATAGCTGGGATGTGAAATCCTCACTTCTGTATTGTTTTGTCATTATAGTTCCCACTTTGCTATTGTTTATTGGCATGGTCTCTGTCTGGTTCTGTGATTGTTTCTGTCTGCTGTATAATTAATTTTGCTGGGTCTAAACTAATTAAGGTGGTGGGATATAATTGGTTAGCTAATCATGTTACAATATGTTAGGATTGGTTAGTAAAATTTCAGTAGAATGATTGGTTAAGGTATAGCTAAGAATATTACTATATAAATTAGGGGCAAACAGGAAGTAAGTTGGGATTCGAAAATAAGGAAAAAGGAACTTGTATTCAAGCTTGCTGGAAGTTCACCCCAATAAACATCAAATTGTTTGCATCTTCGGACTTTGGGTATTGTTGCTCTCTGTTCATGCAAGAAGGACCAGGGAAGTGGGAGAGTGAAGGAATAAGCTCTCTAACAGTGTAAGCCATTCTTCTTCATATTATCCAATAATCTTTATCCATGGATGAGAGGCCAGTTCTATGGTATGTTGCATGAGTGCCTTAAAGACAATAATTCTTTGCTTCTTTTATATTTCGTAGAGGGGGTGGTTCTATGCAGATTCAATATAATGGACACTCTCTCGAAAATCACAGCAGTATAATACATTTGTCCATTTCCAATGGACAACATTATAAAGCCATATACTCAAGAGTATTCATCAGTATTAGGGAAAAAAAGATTAAATGGGTCTCACTGCCTATTTTGCGAGTAGAATGGGTCTGCACCCAGAAAATGTAAAGTTGCTGATGTCTGAGTATAAGGACAGTCTGTTGTAAGAGATAACTTGATGTCAAAAGGCAATAAGTAGAATGCATCTAACAATCTATTTTGTTGTTAGCACTGGCTTTTTTTTTTATCCTAACATTCCCATGGCAACAAGATTTCTAATGTCTCCCGGAGGTCTCAAATAGTTCTGGTTTTATGCAATACTGCAGTGATTACCTCATTATTTAAATAAAAATAATAACCCATAAAAGAATTTTCCAATTAACATTTTATAGCAAACCTTCCTTTTCTGGCAAAGATTCTAAAAAGGATCATTAGTGGACAGCTGTTGTCCTGCCACTGCCATATCTAGTTATTTGAAAAATTCCAGAGCTTGATCATTGTACCAACACTGCTAAATAAGGCTTGTAATGAGTTATTGCTCCTTGCTGACTTTGGTCCTCTGATGGTTTAGAATTTCTTGATCTATATGTAGCACTTGTCCCTACTGATCATAAGTACAATTTTACTGTCTTCAGCAGTTATTGCTAGTTATTTTTTAGGTATTGTGCATAGCTGGTTTATTTCTCCCCCACCCTCAAGTCTTTTCCTTTTGTTGTGATCAACAGTATTATTTCCTATCCTATCCCCATCATTGTGAAATCGCATAGGGTGGCTTGTATCTGGGACCTTCAGTTCCTAAGGTGATAGTGTATACAACAGCCACCACTATCGTTAGTTGCTTTTGAATTGACTAACTTAGGAACCTTTTAAAAACATATAAAGCCCGCTCCAAAGCTCGCGGAAGTCAACACAGGCTGCACTGTGATCGGGCCTGACTGAGCATGCAGAGCAGGCTTTTTCTCTAAATGCTTACATGCATAATAAAGGAAGGATGTTATGCAGGTGCACAGCTAACTTACCTACACTGTGCTGTCCAGTCAAAGGCACTACAGTAAATCAGGGGAGACAGCTGAGTGAAGGCAAATGCTGACTATTTAAGTATGAAGGAGCCAAGGAAGGGTCACTGGAAACCTGTACAGTATGCAGCAGGGAGTGCCAGTCTCATGCATTTAGGAACTCCATAGCCAGGGCACGTGCAAAGAAAAGTGCTTTCCTTCCTTATTGCCGAGCAGCTCAGGTTTCCAGGAGAAACTAGACAATATATAGAAAAATCAAGGTCACACAAAGCCAGAACCAAGGTTGCCCTTTTTCCACCCCCCATCATATGCATTATGATATATTTTTAATTATATGGTCAAATGCTATTCATTTTACAATATATCATTTACCCTCTAGATCTTTAAGTGCATAGTTATAGTATCCTGCAGTTTTCTATATGTCACACAGGCCTGGTAAAGCTCCCTCTGCTGGACAATCATCAGGCTGATGTGTTTGCATCTCACACACTGGGCCCCTGTGCTCTTAACCTTCCCTTAGTCTCAGTAGGTTGCAGTACTGTCTCTTTCCTTGGCATCTCTGGTACACTTCCTGGGCACAGGCTCTCTCTCTGTCCCTAAGGTTCACAGAAATGGACCCCATGCCTCAGCTGCCCAGCCCTGAGGACCAAAGCTGAGGCCCCAGACCCCACATTAACTTAAACACACACTTTCCCAGAGCTCTAAGTTCCTGGGCATTCTGGGTTTATCGTTCATATCTTCAGGGACACATGGTAGCAGAAACAAACCAGCACACAGGCTTTTAAAGAGTTGCCAAAAATAATCACTCTTTACTTTAGCTAGCACAAGAAATATACAGACTGAGATAAAAAAAAAAATAACACAGTTCCTTGCTTCAGTTTCCTTACCATTCTAGAGCACTCTCTGGAATTAGGGCATAGTCCTTTAGGGAGTTCAGGTCGCCTTCTTGCCCATGGCCTCTTCAAATTATGGAATCAAAGTCTGAGTTTCAGTGTCTTTCTCTTTTTCTCTTTCCTTCTTTCCTTGCAGCCAGTTTCCTTCTTCCTTAACTGGTCCTTCAGTTAACAACACTCCTCCAACTTTGATATTTACTGACTTTAGAGTACTTAATTGTGCAAACTTGACATTCTATAGTTTTTCTAAAGATTATATACAATCCATCAAATACTACTAATATTATTATGTGCTGAAGAATAATTATTATTACTACTATTTATTTATTTATTCATTTATTTAATACCTCTTTGTAATGTTGTAGCCATGTTGGTCCCAGGATATGAGAGAGAAAGTAACACTCTGGTTACTTTTTCCAGACCTCAGCCATGCCGACTACATACACACTGGTTTCAAGCAGGTTTGTTCTTGGCATGGCCCAGCCATGCCTCTGCTGCCACTGTCACGCCCCAAGGCCCCCTCCCTCAGGGAGTTCCCTGGGAAGGCAGATCAGCAATGTATATTGCTAACGCTGTTGCTTGCATTGCAAAGCATTTTGGGGAGGGTCAGAGGTGTATGAATGGAGAGTGGAAGTTTCCTTTGCAGGTACAGGAGGCTGGGTGGCGGGGAGAGAAAGAAGAAAGCAGAGAATGGGTTAATTCAACACTGCAGCTAGCAAGCTCAGTCTGAAGATAAGAAGCTGATTCTAGCCCAAGGCCAGCTGCTACCTGCCAAGACAGAAAAGGGGGAAGTCCAACCCCCCGACCAGCCATGAGAAGGGAGAGTTGTTGAACAAAATGCAGGGGCCGGGAAAAGGAGCAAGATGGCGAAGGCCAGCCAGGAACAAACAGAACTGTCTCATAGCCCTGAAACCAGGTGCTTTGGGAAAGGGAAAGAGACCACATAAAGCTGGTTTGGACTGGCACAAAGAGCACCAGGAACAGAGGTTGCGGAATGGAACACCCCCAAAGGAGCCCAGGACTTAAAACCCTCCTGAGAGCTGGAACAACCCGGAGAGCACAGCAGATCCTTGGACGGCCTGGGCCCAGGACAGCACTCCCGTCCACCTTCCCTCCTCTCCTCTTCTTCTGAAGTTACACTCCGACTTGGCCAGTCTGGGTCGTGCATGTGTGAGTATGAAAGTGGGTTAGGGCTTGGGACATTAACGCTTTCTTTCTTCCCCTGAGTGATGTGGGAGCATTCCCAACACTCTGCTGTTATTTTATCAATAAAGCTTTAAAATTTAGACACTTGGTGGGCCTCGTCATCTCCTCCCAAAAAAGATCCTGTGGCCCCAGTCTGATCAACTGTGGCCCCAGGCAGATTGGTAACAAAAATCTGTCACACCATTACCTGTGTTACTTCAGCTACTCTGCTATTCATACTCACATTAGTTAGACAAGAAATAGCACGAGTATGTGTACACAAGCAGGGGAATCATACACCTATCTCACAGTGTAGACGTAGCTGTAGTGTTGTATTAACTCTGGGCCCAATCCTCAGCTGATACAAATCTGCATAATACCATTGAAATCAAAATTTATTTCAATTTCAACCAGTTGAGAATCTGGCTTTCTCATTTTTTTCATTGAATATAAACAGCATGATACTCCCTAACTAACATTTGCAATATTATTGGCTGAGTTAGCAATATCATGAAGATTATATACAGATATCCATAAACTCTTGATATACAAGCTTTTTCTACTTTCATCCTCCTTGCTATAGACCCACGAATGAAACTCTGAAGAGTTTCTCAAGCTTATTTATAGTTTTCCGCCCTAACCAAAACTATTTTTTTGTATTTCCTATTTTAAATCACATTTTTACCTTAGCAGTAAAGCTCTGGGAAGCTAGTTTAGATGCCTTCATTTTCTGATCTCTTCAGAAACATCTAAGCTTCTGGGTATGTTATCATCCTACTACTTAAAAAACTTTTGCTATGTTGCAGCAATGGCTTTCACAGTCAGACCTTGAAATGGTCATTCACGCTTTTGTTATTTCAAGATTAGATTATTGCAATTCCCTACTGGCTGCTTGCCCAGTAGGATGCTACATAAACTCCAGCTGGTGCAGAAGTCTGCTGCCAGGATTCTCTTGAAAAGGGGACAATCCAAACATATTTCACCCCTTGTGCAATCTTTGCCCAGATTGCTGGCTAAACAACATATTGATTATAAAATGACCCTTCTTATTTGTACGACAATAAAATGACTTTGGTCTAATGAACCTTATCAATATTTTATTTTAAGTCCCTGTCCATGCAACAAGATATGATAAGGAAAACATTTAGGTTGTCCCAAGATTAACTCGCAAACTGCAGTGTGACTATATGCTGTATCATTTGTACGGTTCTTTCCACTAGAAGTCAGTAGCACTGAATCTCAGTACCTGTTTTTATCATAAAGTTACATCAATGGAAGTTTGCTGATTTTCACAATCTGAGAATCTGTCCCTTGTTTTTTATACCTTTTTCTATACCTTTTATACCTTTTTCTACCTTATACCTTTTCTGTTTGATGGAAGTGGTTGCAAGGTCATTGTTGTTTTCTCATGTTTATGTTCTAAAAGATTCCTGTGGACTGGTATGTTACTGTCAAAATGGAATAGTGTGAGACGTATGTTTGGGTTCAGTGTGTTACAAATGCTAACAGGTAAAAATGAATTAGAAAGAAAAAAGTTGACCTTTTTCTCTTCCTGACTATTCTGTTTGACAAAACTGACATGCTTCTCAGCCTTTTCAAATGGGGAGAAAAACTCATTTCAGATAGTAAGAGACATATGGAAAAATTAAATTCACTACATAAATTATATTTGAAAATATACAAAAACTGGAGATAGGGACAATCAGTAAATAGGAAACAAATTCTTCTAATAATGTGTGGAGTTTTTTAAATGGATGGGATATTATTAAACTACTGGTCAATATCTACTAAAATTAATAAATTGTTGTTTTCTTAAACTATCAGTCTTACAAATAAAATAATTAAATACTAACTGATCATTATTATGGCTTTTTCATTTTCTTTCATGGATCCATGGACGAATTTCTGGGCTCCTGAAGAGTTAAAGACAAGCAATAATTAAATGTAAGGCTGCAGTGCAAAGTCTGGGGCTGGTATACACTACAGGTTTAGGTCGAATTTAGCAGCATTATCTCGATTTAACCCTGCACCCGTCCACATGATGAAGCCTTTTTTTCGACTTAGAGGGCTCTTAAAATTGGTTTCTTTACTCCCCCCCGATGAGGGAATTAGCACTGAAATCGATCTTGCCAGGTCGAATTTGGGGTGCTGTTCATTCAATTCGATGGTATTGGCCTCCGGGAGCTATCCCAGAGTGCTCAATTGTGACTGCTCTGGACGGCGCTCTCAAAAAGGCCCGCAAGGCGAGCTCACCTGCACAGGTCACCATGCAGAGCTCATCATCACAGGAGACCATGCAGTCCCAGAATTGCCGAAGAGCTCCAGCATGGACCGAACGAGAGGTACAGGATCTGATTGCTGTATGGGAAGACGAATCCGTGCTGGCAGAACTCCGTTCAAAAAGGTGAAATGCCAAAGTATTTGAAAAAATCTCCAATGTCATGAAGGACAGAGGCTATAACAGGGATCTGCAGCAGTGCCGCTTGAAAATTAAGGAGCTCAGGCAAGCCTACCAAAAAACCAGAGAGGCAAACAGCCACTCTGGTTCAGAGCCCCAGACATGCCGCTTCTATGAGGAGGTGCATGCCATTCTAGGGGGTGCAGCCACCACTACCCCAACCCTGTGCTTCGACTCCATCCAAGGAATGGGAGGCAACATGGAAGTGGGTTTTGGAGGCAAAGAAGATGAGGAGGACGAGGAGGTTGTAGATAGCTCACAGCAAGGAAGCGGAGAAACTCGTTTCCCCAACAGCCAGGATCTGTTTATCACCCTAGACCTGGACCCAGTACCCGCCGAACCCACCAAGGCAGGCTCCCAGACCCTGAAGGCAGAGAAGGGACCTCTGGTGTGTGTATCTTTGTAAATATTATACATGGTTTAAAAGCAAGCATGTTTAATGATGAATTTGCCCTGGCTTTTGCGGCCAGTACTGGAAATGTCTGTTAACGTGTCTGGAGATAGAACGGAAATCCTCCAGGGACATCTCCATAAAGCTCTTCTGGATGTACTGCCAAAGCCTTTGCAAAAGGTTTCACCCTCCAGGGTAGGAAACTTTACCACACCAGGCCAGTAGCACGTAGTCGGGAATCATTGCAGAACAAATCATTGCAGCGTATGGTCCCGGTGTTTGCTGGCATTCAAATAACATCCATTCTTTATCTCTCTGTGTTACCCTCAGGAGAGTGATATCATTCATGGTCACCTGGTTGAAATAGGGTGGTTTTAGTAAACGGACATTCAGAGGTACCCGTTCCTGCTGGGCTGTTTGCGTGTGGCTGAACAGAAATCTTCCCCGCTGTTAGCCACACGGTGGGGGGAGGGGTGAAACCATCATCCCAGAGAATTGTGTATGTGTGTGGGGGGTGTTAGTTGGGTTTCTGCTGCATGTGAACCCGGAAACCACAGCCCCTCCTTTTAAATTGCCACCCATTTTTAATGGCCAACCCAACGGCTACTTCGTATGGGAAATGAGGGCACTGCTGTTTGAAACCATTCCCACATGTTATGACAGTTAAAGAAGCCAAAAGACTGTGGCTTACCATGGCTGCCTGCAAGCCGAATTCTGTTGCCCGGCCCTGCGTGAGTTATCTCTCACACCAAACAGGCATACCCTCAATAAGAGGCAAAATGCGAGCTTATAATGAAATCACATGTGCTACGTAATGTTAACAGAAAGGTTTACAATGAGTGTACCCATTGTTCTATAAAATATGTCTTTTTAACTACCAATCTCCCTTTTTTTTCTCCACCAGCTGCATATGTTTCTCCTTCCCAGAGACTAGCGAAGATTAGAAGGCAAAAAAACCGCACTCGTGATGAAATGTTCTCTGAACTTATGCTGTCCTCCCACACTGACAGAGCACAGCAAAATAGGTGGAGGCAGACAATCTCAGAGTTCAGGAAAACACAATATGACCGTGAAGAGAGGTGGCAGGCTGAAGGTGGCAGATGGCGTCAGCTTGCTGAAAGAAGCTCAGGCTGCTGGAGGATCAAACTCATATGCTTCAGCATATGGTTGAGCTGCAGGAAAGGCAAAAGGAGCACAGACCACCGCTACAGCCCCTGTGTAACCAACCAACTTCCTCCCCAAGTTCCATAGCCTCCTCACCCAGACGCCCAAGAACACAATGCGGGTGCCTCCGGCCACCCAGCCACTCCACCCCAGAGGATTGCCCAAGCAACAGAAGGGTGGCATTCAAAAAGTTTTAAAGCGTGGTGTGGCCTTGACCTTCCCTCCTCCACCACCTCACTCGGTGCTTCCCTCCTCCACCCCCCCTCCCATGCTACCTTGGCAGTTATCCCCCTATTTGTGTGATGAAAAAATAAAGAATGCATGAATGTGAAGCAACAATGACTTTATTGCCTATGCAGGCAGTGATCAAAGGGGGGATGGGAGGGTGGTTAGCTTACAGCAAAGTAGAGTGAACCCGGGAGGGTGGAGTTTCCATCAAAGAGAAACAAACAGAACTTTCACACCATAGCCTGGCCATTCCTGAAGCTGGTTTTCAAAGCTTCTCTGATGCACACCACACCCTCCTGTACTCTTCTAACCGCCCTGGTGTCTGGCTGCACATAATCAGCAGCCAGGTGATTTGCCTCAACTTTCCACCCTGCCATAAATGTCTCCCCCTTACTCTCACAGATATTGTGGAGCGCACAGCAAGAGGTAATAACAATGGGAATATTGGTTTCACGGAAGTCTAACTGAGTCAGTAAACTGCACCAGCACGCTTTTGAACAACTTCTGACTACTGTCCAGGGTGCTTGTGTATGGCTTCATGAGCCATGGCATTAAGGGGTAGGCTGGGTCCCCAAGGATAAATATAGGCATTTCAACATCCCCAACAGTTATTTTATGGTCTGGAAAATAAGTCCCTTGCTGCAGCTGTTGAAACAGACCAGAATTCCTGAAGATGCAAACGTCATGTACCTTTCCTGGCCATCCCACGTTGATGTTGGTGAAATGTCCCTGGTGATCCACCAGTGCTCGCAGCACCATTGAAAAGTACCCCTTTCGGTTTATGTACTCGCTGCCTTGGTTCTCCGGTGCCAAGATCGGGATATGGGTTCTGTCTATCGCCGCATCACAGTTAGAGAATCCCATTGCAGCAAAGCCATCCACTATGACCTGCGCATTTCCCAGAGTCACTACCCTTGATAGCATCAGCTCAGTGATTGTGTTGTCTACTTGCATCACAGCAGCCCCCACAGTAGATTTGCCCACTCCAAATTGATTCCTGACTGACCAGTAGCTGTCTGGCATTGCAAGCTTTCACAGGGCTATCACCACTTGCTTCTCAACTGTGAGGGCTGCTCTCATCTTGGTATACTTGCGCTTCAGGGCATGGGAAAGCAAGTCACAAAGTTCCATGAAAGTGCCCTTACGCATGCGAAAGTTTCGCAGCCACTGGGAATTGTCCCAGACCTGCAACACTATGCGGTCCCACCAGTCTGTGCTTGTTTCCATGAACCTGCCCAACTGACACCATGATGTGCACATTGCAGGGGCCCGTACTTTGTGAGAAGTCTATGTCCATGTCTTCATCACTCTCATCACTGCGCTGCAGTCACCTCCTCCCCGCCTGGTTTCACTTTTCTTGCAGGTTATGGTTCTGCATATCTTGCTGGATAATGCGTGCGGTGTTTATAGTGCTCATCATTGCCATGGTGATCTGAGCGGGCTCCATGTTCCCAGTGCTATGGCATCTGCGCTGAAAAAAGGCGCAAAACGATTGTCTGATGTTGCTCTGACCGAGAGAGGGGCGACTGACAACATGACTTACAGGGAACTAAAATCAACAATGGCTTTGCATCAAGGAGAAACAGAATGGCCCCCTCAAGGATAGAGTTCAAAACTCTGGGTTTAGCAGGCCGTTGATTTCACAGAGGGAGTGGGGAGAAAATGAATACAAAACAGATCTGGTCTATTTCTTGTTTTGATCCACTTAATCTATCTTTATACATCTTGCTGGCAGCGGACGGTGCAGTACGACTGCTAGACATCGTCATGTCCTGGGTGCTCATTAGAACATGGTGCAGTACGACTGCTGGCAGGACTGAATCACCATGAGACGAAACTTAAAAGGGAAATGACCTGGCTGAGGCACTCCCATGTTTGCCCAGGCGCCCCGACCGACCTCACCAAGGTCGGCTAAAAGAGCATCCTGGAGTACAGCGACAATGGCTACCAGTCATACTGCACTGTCTGCTGCCAAAAAGCAATGAGCTGCTGCTGTGTAGCAATGCAGTACCACGTCTGCCAGCACCCAGGAGACATACGGTGATGGTGAGCTGAGCAGGCTCCATGCTTGCCATGGTATGGCATCTGCACGGGTAACCCAGGAAAAAAGGCACAAAATGATTGTCTGCCATTTTTTTCACTGAGGGAGGGAGAGAAGGGGGGGTCTGACGATATGTACCCAGAACCACCCGCTACAACGTTTTTGCCCCATCAAGCACTGGGATTTCTACCCAGAATTCAAATGAGCGGTGAAGACTGCGGGAACTGTGGGATAGCTACCCACAGTGCAACGCTCCGGAAGTCGACAGTTGCCTCGGTACTGTGGACGCACTCCGCTGACTAAATGCACTTAGAGCATTTGTGTGGGGACACACACAATCGACTATAAAAACACTTTCTACAAAACCGACTTCTATAAATTCAATCTAATTTCGTAGTGTAGACATACCCTTACATGCACATGGAGCCCATTGACTTCAATGGACTCTACACAGGGGCAAGGCTGTGGCTACAAGGCGCATCAGCTTGCGAGACTGAAGCCTTACATTTCAGTTTCTACTAGTCTTTAATGGCCAGATTCTCAAATGTATTTTGGCACCTGAAGAGGTGCCTGGTGGCATTTTCAAAAGCAGATTAGGAGCAACTTGCAAAATGTTGGCCTAAGTTTTTACTTGACGGATATGAGAGAATTTTCCACTGAATTGAATTCTCCCCTTTAGAACCAGACTCTATAGCAGTGAGGGGGAACTAAGGCTTTGTGTATGCTCAGTCTCAGACCTCTCATATGCAGAGATTTTTTGATTTACACCAAAATCGTGTGCTTTGTTTTTTTTAATTCCTGTTGATGATTTGGTTATATAGATTCCCGTCCATTAGGGATATGAACCAAGACCACCAACCTCTTTGGACCACAATATGGACTTCAACCATGGTCCTGATGTGTAAACATTTTACTCATTGAGCAACCCAAATACTTCACTGTGGCTTTCCCCACTACCCCGTTGCATTTACCTAATATGCAAGTTTGATCTTGATCTTGCTATTTTGACTCTAATGTTCTACATCTCCCTAAGGCTATGCTTTTGACATGATGGTCTGCCTTTTCTCCGGTCAGAAGTGGAGAAAGGAATAAAAGAGGGTTCCCTGTGAGCACTTCATTTTGTTTGTGCTGTGATTAGCCAAGAAGTCTATTCAGGAGAAAATTATACCTTTTTGTTTCAAAGCAGATTTTTACGGACAAAGCCTCAGCAATAAATTAAAATGACATTGTTATACAGTTGTTATGCATTGTTATACAGTTCAATGCACAATTTTACAATATCTTTCACTACAGGTTTATGGAACCTCAAATACTAAATACACATTCACAAAAGGACAAAAGAAGATTGTTGATTCTGGTCAACAAGGCAAGACAAATAAGAAAATATGCATAAGAAAGGACACATATTGCTAATAGAACTCATTTCACTAGGTAAATTACCAGCATCACACAGTTTTATTTACATCCCATGTAACTCCCATTGCATTTAATATTCCACAATAAATTACACCGTGTTAGTCTACAGGATTATTATAGTGAATTTGAATTACAGAGATAGGCAGGCTTTGTCACCAGTTCCTGCATATTGGCAATAGAGAATCTGTCATGTTTTTGCACCCCGCTGGCAACAAAGATGACATTTGTCTCTGTTTCTTTTTTAAAGGATACATAATTTTCCATATATTTTTCAGTTGTTTAAAGAAAATGCATTTCACTTCTGGTGTAACAGACAAGAAAAATGGGATTTTTGCTAAATACAAATTAAATAATGGTTATTTCATTATGAAAGGAATACTGATCTATTGTATGCACGAACCAGCATTGTAATACAGCATTGCTGTGACATGCTATGATTACTGTAAACAAAAAAGATAATAACTGCATTGCCAGTTTTTAAAGTACAGTACAACAACTATACAGCATATTACAAATTCATGATTTTCTTTGCAACATTCCATAACTGTTTCCTTTAGCCTGAAAATATAGAAGTTAATCAGAGATCAGACATTAGCGATAAAACCACATGATGGTGTCAGCAAAAAATGTCCAAGTGTGTGGCATATCTCTGATTGAAGTAATGTCACTCTTACTCTATAAATGCAGAGGCACATAACTTGCAAGTTTTAATTTCTGGGAATACAGGTTGGCAGACAGCATAAATCTAGATGTGTTATGTCAGTCAGACAATCCTGAGAATGTACTCTTCCTATATTTGCAGTCCTACTCAGATAATGTGCAAGATGCCTTTGAAAGGAGTGTGTAGATATTTAGAGATGTAATTACATGAGTATATCCATAATATTTAAATTAAAATGTAGAAAGGCTCGTTTCTATCTGAAATTGAAAGAAACAGAAGCTTACTGTTTCTTTCAGTAAATTTAGATATTACTATAAAGAATTAGGAAATATCAACTTTAGGGTCATTAACAAATCTGTTTGCTCCCAGCCTCAAAACAACATTTATTCCAAAAATGGGGAGTATACGGTTCTTTCTAAAATACATCATCTAGTTCAACTAAAGTTATTGGGCTTCATGCAGGAATTTCTAGGTGAGATTCAATGTCTTGCGTTATACAGAAGTTGAGACCACATGATCACAAATGCCCCATTAAGCTCAAAGGGAATGTCTAAACTGCTATGAGACACCCATGACTGAGCCATGCCAGGTGATTCGTGGTCATGGGGCTCAGGCTCACAGAGATATTTAAAAAGAAAAGGAGTAATTGTGGCACCTTAGAGACTAACAAATTTATTTCAGCATAAGCTTTCGTGAGCTACAGCTCACTTCATTGGATGCATTCAGTGGAGAATACAGTGGGGAGATTTATATACACAGAGAACATGAAAAAAATGATTGTTACCATACACACTGTAAGGCGAGTGATAAGGTAAGGTGAGCTATTACCAGCAGGAGAGTGGGGGGTGGCGGGAAAGAAACCTTTTGCAGTGGTAATCAAGGTGGGCCATTTCCAGCAGTTGACAAGAACTTTTTACTCAAGCCTTATTCAAGCAATCT